GATTGGGATGCCTCCTCTAATTATATAAAGGCCTCAGGCTCCTGACAGCCAATCTTCCCTGTGGATTTATGACAGACCTTTGTTCTACATCAATATAAATCAGATTACAAGTAATATTTTCCTACATTTACTGGATTTCTTTCATATGAGGAGGCCAAAGGACACATCTCATCAGTGCAATGTGATATGGATTGTAATACTCTTCATAGGACACAGAGAAATACAGAGAGAAAGGGATGAAGGGAATGTACTAAGCTGCCTCTGGTCACAGACCTTTCTGAGGCTCTGCTGTGAACTGGTGTATGGGGCTTGTTCTTTTCTTTCTTCTTGTCTTCTGTGATTTGAGGGCAGCTGTTTATCCGAATGAGTTACATCATTTAACAAATGAACAAAACCCACCAAACCTTCCCCACTTTTGGAACTGAGTTTCTCTAACTCTCTTCTGTATTGCTTGTGAGGGCCCTAGAGGGGCGCTGTTTGCTACATGAGGGAGTCACTAGCTGCAGGCAGCCATAAAGATCTTGATGTGTAACTGACATGTCCGTCCTCTGGAAGCAAGCTCTTAGCCACTGGACCCGCTGGCACTTAGTAGACACACCAGTTTCCAAAGACTTAGTAGGGTAAGAAGAATGTAAAATAGCTGATCAATAATTTTAAAATATTGATTTACATGTTGAAAGGATAATATTCCATACATACTTGGGCTTAAATAAAATATATTATTAAAATTGATCCCACCTGTCTCTTTTTATTTTTTAAATGTGGCTACAAGAAAATTTTAAATTATACATATGACTCTCCTTTGTGGCTTGCTTTATATTTCTATGGGATGGGGCTTCACTACAGTGATCCTTTACATGCTGAATCCATAGTCCTTGGTTTCCTGCCAAATGTTCCCCCACCCTTGTCCCAGCTAACCTGTTCTTCTGGGGTCAGCTCTAGTATTACCTTGCAAGAGATCCTCTGTGACTCCTCACCCATTCCCTTGGTCTACTAGGTAACCCCGATAATCATTTCCCTAGCTGGATCTTGAACTCCTCCTTAACACCTGAGTGCTGTCATCATCCCCATGTCTGTCCTTCTCCTGGACTGTGAGTTCAAGCACCTGAGGACTGCGTTTGTCTTGTTCACTTCCATATCTCTGGAATGCAGCACAGTGTCCAGTACTAATAAGAGCCTTCAATATATTTGCTAGTTTGAATGAATGAATGAATAAAGTGAAGTTGGCTTCATTTATACACACTACTTCCAGATCCATGGCCTCAAACATAATTCCAGAAAGTTTATGACCTGCCATGATTAAGAAATTAACAGAGGAAATTGTAAAGGTTAATGAGGTTTGGCACATCTTTCCATACATTGTCTGTCTATCTATCTATCTATCTATCTATCTATCTATCTATCTATCTATCTATCTATAAGGTGATTTTCTTCCTAAAGGATACATGCTATGTTAAGTGAAAGAAATCTGTACTGGAATCATGGATTGAAACACTTAATCAAAACAAAGGAAACAGTATGAATCTTTGCAGAGAAGGAAGATACAGGGAATGTGAGGGAGGGGATGCTAGAAAGCCCCCTGTGAAGAGCTCTAACATGACACTGGCACTGTTTGTGACAGAGCAACATTTTCTACTTGTTATTGCATTTATTGTTTGAACAATACTGAGGTGTTTTATTTCACAGATTAAGTTGTACTTTTTTGGCTTCAACAAAGAAAGTATTTTTTCTCTTAAAAATAGCTATGGCAAAACATACTACCAGATATTTTTGAGGAAAGAGAACTTTTAGAAGAAAGCTTTTAGGAGAAACCCAGAGTAAGTAGGTAAGAGCCAGAACAATAAAGCAAAAGTCTCCTTCCCCCTCAACACACCCCCACACTCACATTGATCCATACACACATTCACGAACACTCATACCCACACACACCCCGGCCACCATAATTGTGAGAAATCGATTTCTGTTTATAATCCACCCAGTCTATGGTATTTTGTTATAGTTCCCAAAGGGACTAAGACACTCACCTACATGCACCCACACTGACACACAGACTCATAAATACATACCCACACTCCCACTCACATCCCACACACATATAAAAAACTCATACCCAGTCACACACACATTCACGTTTACTCTCTGCACTCACACACATGCACACATCACTCACATACATGTACAATCACACATACATACTCATACTCACCTATATTCACACTTCACTCCCTCACACACCCAGGCTGTACCCATTCAGCAGCAAGTTGTTCTCTTCTGATGTAAACATCCTACAAAAATGAAAGGTCATCTCACATTCCCCCAGCTGTCAGAGAAACATGCTCTCACTTTGTTCATAGACTAATGGGGTTTTACCTGGGGCTTCCTTTGGTGCCAAGACCTGAAATCCCCCTCTTTGCAGTGGCAGGGTGTCCCTCTCACTGGGGTTCCCAGTATTGATCAAAGTGAAAAAAAAAGCCAAAATCAACACACATACATCTTTGCTTCCTTTCCTTGGTGAGGTCTGATTTGGGCCCCACCACAAACCACCTGATCTGGCTGCAGTGTTTCTTTCTAGTCTGACATTTAAACAGGTCCCTTATGTCATGGCACCACCCCATCAATTCCCAAGCCTGCCTGAGAGTGGCATGGGGAATCCCCAGGAGGACAAGTGGGACTGGAGTGGTTCCAGACAGGAGCAGTGACTTCTGCCTAGGAAGGCTCCCAGCTGCAAGCACCACAGTACCTGAAATCCTCTCTTTGGAATCACGTCATTTCCCTAGACCTGTTTCTGTTTGTGAAATGGGTGGTGGGCCTGCATGCTGCTTACATTCCCTCCGGCTCTGTGGCTCTGTGGCTCTGTGGTCAAAGCAGGCCTGCTCATCTCAGTAACTGTCGTCAGTCTTTTACTGCCACTCCCAGGTGAGTGGCCTATTTGGGGCCACTGAAGAACCCCAGGGTTTGGCAGAAAAGGACTTAGTCTTGTGATGGTCCTGAAAAACTGAGGACTAGATCCAACATTCCTTAAGGAGCCTCTCTCAAACAGGACAGGCACAGAAGGTCTTGAAGTTGCCCTGTCTTGATCACCATCTGGTGCCAGGAAGTTTCTAGTATTTACATTTTTGGTTTCTTAGTGACGCCAGTTCCAGTCCAATGCACCCACAACTCTGGCTCCACAAAACGGAAAATTTTCTAACAGTAAGAGATGCCCACCAGAGCATGGACTGCTTACAAAGTGGAATTCTCCCTGTCCGAGACGGTCCAAGCAGGGGCATGTGTCAGTCCTGGCTGGAGTGGGAGCAGTGCTAATGATAGGAGGGTAGACTAGAAGAGAATTCAAGTTCTTTTGAATTCCAAGATCTCACTTTAGAGTTTAGGCTTTTCCAGGCTTAGGGGCAAGATTAAAATGAAAAGCAGAGAAGAATTTGCATATGCATGTTGGCTGAGCATTACCTGTGGCTAAAAAATGTTTATTGGAACTAAAACAGTCTATCTCTTCAGATCACTGCTGAGGACACTCAGGGGGAAGGATTCTCTATGGAAGGAGGAATTTTGGTTTTAACCAGTTGCTTACTTGTGAAAATGAAAACCAACACTCAAGAACTGAGCTGTGTTCTTCTATAGTATTCACAAATTATGGCCACTCTAAATGTCTTGCTTTGAGAATTGTCTTGCTCTTAAACATGGCTTCATTTTAAAATAAATTTTAAACTGTAGTTTTAGTTTCAAAGTGAAGAGCTTGATTATGACTCACCAAGCTATTTATAGTAGTCTCATACCAGACATTTTGTGCGTGTGTGAGACAGAAAGGAAAAGAGGGAGAAAGAGCTCAATTCTTGCCTGGCTCATTTCTTAAAACTGAAGAAAACTGCAGTTATCAACATCTATCATGCTAACCCCATCAGAGGACTTGATATTCATTTCTCTGACTCTTCTGCTTTCGTGCTCATCAGCTTCATGATTCCAAAACTGTTGATTTACCCTTAAATGGAAGAGGTGCAGTGAGAGGGATGCAGGAGTAGGGAAGTAAAGAGGAGTACAGCTCACCTGAAAACCTCTTATTAGCAGCATGCCAATCAGGAGCTCAATTCAAATAGTATTTTCTTTTCACAAAGATGAGTCATGACAGAGCAGAAAGAGTTCTGGATGGGGTTTCAGTCTCAATTCTGCACTTAGTAGCTGGGTGACTGTGGGAAGAACATCCTCTCTCTTACCCTCAGGTTTTCCATTTGTTAAGTGGGGATACCTACGACCTACCTTACAGGGTTTTTAAAGGATTAAATGAAGCAACCACACCAGAATCAGCACTGTGTGAAACTCTCACATCCTGTAATAACATTAGGTCTTACTGTTTTCTGGAAGGTTGTTTGAATCACTACTGTTTTACTACTATTCCTGAGGAGGAGTTGCTTTCCATTCCTCTTCACACGATTGTCTACAATTACTTGAGTTCCTGAGGTAGAACAGCCTTCTTTCCACCCTCTCCCTTTTCAGTGACTATAGCAAATACATTCCTAGATATCCACATCCACAGACTTCCCATCTTTAATTTCCCAAAAAGTGAATCAGTAAGGTGGCGTGGTCACTGGTGGGCATGTTATATGCAGGGGATATTAAGAGTGGCTGGGAGGGGCAAGAGGCAGAAGAAATGGTGCAGTGGGACAGAGTGTGGACATGCCTGGAGATAGGAACGGATGCAAGCAGATGAGGAAAAGATGCAGTTGTGTGCAGGAGGGAACTCAGTGGGAACTCTCACTCTTATCTGACAAAAGGAAATGACATTGGGTCAAGTGTCTTGAGGATATTGCTGAGGAAACGAGCTTCAACCAAGTCTCTGAAGCCTTGTATAAAGCCACTATGGAAATAAAACTTTTTTTTTTTTGGCCTTAAACATTGTTCAAATATATAATTCTTTCTATATGTTAATTATATCTCAATAAAAACAAAACAAAAAATCAACCAAATATATACTTCTCTTGAATTTTACACTGACAATGAAAACTTACCTTCCAGAAAAGAGAAATCTGTTGTCTATTGTAGTCAATGGGTTGTTTCATGTACCAGACATCTAATGTCCCAGTAGGCTCTGTTTTGAAGGAAAAAAAAACATATTTCCATGTATACACACATACATGTATATATCCATACATGCACAATATAAAACCTCTTAAAGTCAATTGCTTATTTAATAAACAATTCCAGGAGAGTAGGATTATCAAGTAATTTCAATTTTCTTTGTGCCCCCATATTTCTTTCCTTTTGTTAAACAATGAACATATGTGTCGGCCATAGAAAACACAAATTTTACCTTAAAAACAAATTTTAAAAAATGATGATGAGGAAATTGGATTCCTAACTTACTCTTAAAATATGTAGTAATAAAATAACTCAAAGAAAGTATGTGTGATTATTTTTTATTGGAATGCAGAAAGAATTAATTCTCAGCAGAAAAACAAAAATATGAATCATAAGGAACACATTTCTGATCCTGTAAAAATGAAAAATACAAATGATTAACTCTGTGTTCACGTCCATTCCTGAACTTACCATGTTGTGGCATAATTATTTGGTTTTATGATCATTAGATCATTAGATCATGATCTACTTGAAAGGAAGGCCCATCTCATTCATCTTAATATCTCTCATACTTACATAGTGCTTAGAATGTAACAGGCTCCTGACAACTTTTGTCAGGTGACAAATGTGCAAATGAACAATTCAGACAATATTAGCTACTTGATGCTAAAACAGAGAATGAACTGATTGAAGGAAAAACCACCATCTTTAAGACAATGGTCAAATATGACCTAATTTAATTTGAGAAAGTCAATCAAACAGACTTGATAAGAAACTGAATAGTCAACTCCTATGTGCTAGAAAGAGAGTGTGTGTGCACATGTGCATGCGTGAGTGGGTGAATAGTTTTATTTCTCCCATTATCAGATTTATTTTGATTTACAGCCAGGGGTGGAACTCACAGAAACAGCCCCTGAAAACAAGCTTCAACTGCACCAATGAAACTTGTTCATTGTGACACTTAGAATGTATTTGAGATGAGGCTACATTGGGGTTCCTTCTGGGGTGACAAGTCCCATTTAACCAGACGAAGTTTCTGGAACATTAACTCCCACCAGGAAAAGAGAAGACAAGCAGCCAGGGAGAGGAGAAGAGAAAAAGGGAAGGAGCACATGCACCCACACATACTATGGGCAGGTCCCGTGGCCCACTTACACTTGCATCCCATATCCTCTTTACCCCATGACATATGCAGCTTTAGTACAGTGGTTAAAGTGTGAACTCCAGGGCTAGACCGTCTATGGGCAAATCCCAGCTCTGTGATCTTGAACAAATGTTAACCACATCCTGAATACATACTCTACATCCTGAAGCCAGTTTCCTCATCTGTTCAATGAGGATTGTAGTTCTATACGTCACATGGGGCTGTTGTGAGAATTGAATGAACAGAGCAGCCCTGACCTAAGGTAAGCACTCAGGAAATTTAGCTGTTGTTTCTTCACTTGGAAATGAGGCTTGTTCAAGGTCCCAGAACTAGTAATCGGAGAAGCCAGGTTTTGAACATTGGTCTGTTTTATCACATAGCCAGCACTCCTCTCTGCACCCCGCAGTTACCTGGCTCTGAGGCTTGTGATTTCTCAACAGTACTTCCACGCCCAACAGGTGCTCTTCTGTGTTCTACCCTCTTCCTTTTTTATTTCCGTTTCCTGCCTCTCTCACCCTCTTCCTTTTGTTTTTTTCTAAACATTCACTTATTTTCTTCCCCTCTTTTCCCACCAGTGGTAGCTTCTACCCTTGCATTGAGGACCTAAAGGTAAGAAATGCTTACCCAAGACATTGTGAAAATGCTCTCCATCCTTCAGGATTATGAAGAGTGACCCAGAAAACAAGCCTAGCACTTTTATCTGCTAGTCCAGATGCAAAAAGGAAAAAAGCACAGGCAACAGAAGGAAAGGGGACCTGACCATTATTAACCACCTACAACGTGTCAGGAAATATTTGGGCATTTTATGTACTGCACGTTATCTCATTTAATCCTCGCACAATGCAGGGTGTGTGTGTGTGTGTGTGTGTGTGTGTGTGTGTGTGTGTGATTACATCTGTTTTAGAGCTGAGGCCAAGGAGGCTGACAAAGGTTAAATGATTTCCAGAACACGTGGAGTTGGTAAATGGCAAAGCCAGCTGAGCCCAGGTTTCACTATTTCCAAAGACCCTGCTCTTCCATTACAGTTCACTACATTGAGCGGAGATCTGAGCAAACTAGATAACCCAGACATTGACTACATAATCAGGATGTGGAAACTTGGATGTGCTCCATGTTGAAGCCAGATGACTTATTAGTGCTAAATGTCTCCAGTTAATTACATATTAGTAACAAATAAAGGGAATACTCATTGTCTCATTAAAGATCTACAACTACCAGATTACTACAGAGCTAAGAATTGAATTCTAGAATCACAGTCTCTTCAAAGGAAAAATTGCAAGTGAAACTGAAATTTTAATGGTGCCCACCTGCAGTGTTAGCCTCTGTGGGAGAGAAATCATTAGTTGAATCTGTATGAGTTTCAAAGTGTAAAATTTCATGACCAGGGGTGTCAAACCACTGCTGCTTAAAACAGCATAAGAGCTGATATTAAAGAGAATCTTTGACATTCAACTGACACAAAATCACTTGAAATTCTAACCTCAGTGTTACCTAACAAAGGCAGATAAAACTATTATAGGCAGGCCAGAAAAGAAAAGTCAAAGACCAAATGTCCAAGTGATTACAAAACAAATGGGTACAAATGACTAAAAATACAAATACTGGAAATGGAAGTCAGGTCACCTGAGATGAAACTGCCTCCTATATGATAAAGGAGAAAACCGTAGAGTTGAATAGAGTTACCAATATGAAAAAAAGCGAAGATCCTAAATTAAGCAGGAGATTGACCTAAATGACCCTGAAGGTGCTTTCAACTCTAAAATCCCAAGATTCTAGGATTCTATGAAACAATAGGTGTGGCAAACAAATCTGAGCCAATCCATGTGCTTCTGAGATGAGCATCCATATCTGAAGCCAAGGCGAACGCAGGAATGTGGACAAGAGCAACTTAATCGTGGGTGGAAAGCAATCCCTCAACAGAGGTTTCCTCAAGGAGCATACAGATTTCCAAGAAGAGTGAAAATGGAGAATTTAACACAAAGCAAATATGGAAAAGGCATATCTTGGGAGGTTTCAGGTAGTGGGCTCAATGAAACACACGAGGATTTTTTGGTCCAAGTCATGTTCCAAGCAGGACAAGACAGAGATAAGTCACTCACTGCCTCAGTTCCTTGAAGTTCACTTTTTGGGGTTGACCCATTTGTCTAAAATCTAATTTTAAACAACTCAATTCAAACAGATATTACAAGTATCTACTTGATTAAACAAGTTTTACTTTCAGACGTTATCACCTGCTATGCCTCCACGGGAAGTCCTATACAGACTACCCCATTCCACTTCCTTCTTGATAAATGAAGTTTAACACTTGGTTCACTCTCTCTTTTCACCTCTTTCTGTCACCTCTTTTACTACTTGTGAAGGGCCACCATCCATAAGGTGTTCCTTCCCAGTAGCTGGTACTGTCAGTCCCTCCACCTGCCCACTTCTAATGATCTGTTTCTGTCAACTGATGCTTTTGCTTCATACTTCACTGAGCAAAAGGAAGTAACAAGGCAGGGATTCCCTCATCTTTCTACCATGAAAAGTTCACCATCAATTCTCTAACATAGTATCCCTACTTCCATCAAAGTTCAACCCAACCTGAGTTCTGGATCCCATCCTCCCTTGTTTTATCAAGGACTTCTCCCCTACTTCTCTTGCATTACTAATTTCTCCCTCTCTGCTGGAAGCTTACCATTACCTTGAAAATACACTACAATTTTTCACCAATCCTAAAAACAAAACCAGACAAAGCATTTCCTGATACCATATCCTGCTCCAACTACTGCCCCACATCTCTGCTCTCCTTCACAGAACTTCATGAAGAGTTGTGAATTGTTAGTCTTTATTCCCTCACTTCACACTCACTCTCAGCCTGTTGCACCTGAGATTTTCTCCTATCATTCTACAGATATTGCAACAAGAAAAACTAGTAACTGTTTAGAGATACATACATTTCTGAAAGTTATGTGAAAAGTACTGATAAACATATAATTCAGGATAGTGTCAATAGTATATTGGTAATTTCACAGCATTTAAGTTGAATGGTGGGTTCATAACTGTTCACTTTGCTGTTATCCTTTGTACGGAGAAAGTAGCTTAACCTAGCATAATCATAGTGGCAACAGAAGAAATGAACAGATTTTGAATATGTTTAGGAGAGTCAAGTGCTGGTATTGGGGAATAAGGAAAAAGAATTTCTTTTTATTTGGAAAAGGAGAATTTAAAGATAACTTCTTGATTTTTGACTTCAGTAACTAGGAAGATGGTGGTATCATTTACTAAAATAGAAAATATTGAAACAGAAGTATTTTGGAAACATTTTGTTTTGGAGAAAAACAAAGAGATATCTATCTATCTATCTATCTATCTATCTATCTATCTATCTATCATCTGTCTGTCTAGTTTTCGAACTGTGGGACTGGATAAAGTCACCTGGGAAAAGAAGGGAGCCCAGGGAAAAGCCATAGGGATTGATATTGAGAAGAGAAAACTGACTAGCAAGAAACCAAGAAGACCTGGTCAATGAAGAAGAATAAAATCCAGGAACATGAGATTTCACAGAATTCAAAAGAATCAAGTACTTCAGGGAGGAAATAGCTCCCTTCTCCTACTGCAATGACTTTGGAGGCCATATGTTCCAGATGAGGGAAGTCCATAAGTTGCATTGGAACTTTACATTTCTTCGTGGTGTTGTATCCTCCAGGAATCTTTACCTAATGTTCCAAAACAGATTAGAAGTCCTTGAGTCTGAGGATCTGACAAGTTATCACTGTGTCCCAGCACCTGGCATAGTTCCTGATACACACACACTTTTCTCACAGATCCATCTTGAGAAGCATTTTTTCCCCCATTTGTTTCTGTTTGGAAGGCTTCATGGAAAGCATTTCTTCCTATTGGGGTGATCACCATCTTGTCAAATAATTGAGCTCAGACATTGATTTCTTCCAGGATAGATGGTGGGCTTAGAGGGGACCCAAAAAGAAAGGAAGGCAGGGACTGTCATTGGCTCTCAAACATAACATTTTCCTTCTAATGAAAACATTTGCATGTAAATCTCTTTAGAAGGCTAAGAACCTTTGATTCTCATATCCTCAAGCCTTAGGCACTCAGATAAATGAGCTAATTTAGGAGTCAGCAAACTATTGCCAGTGGGTCATATCTGCTCCTTGTTTTAGTACAGCCTGTGGACTAACAATGGTTTTTACATTTTTAAATGGTTGAAAACAAACAGAAGAGTAATTTTCAGTGACATGTGAAAATTACATAAAATTAAAATGTCAGTATCCATAAATAAGGTTCAATTGGAACATAGCTTTGTCTATGTATTTATACACTGTCAATGGCTGCTTGCACACTACAATAGCGAATTTTAGTACTGGTGACAGAGATATGGTCTGCAAAACTGAAAATATTTACTGTCTGGACCTTTACAGAAAATGTTTGCTGACCCCTAAGCTAGATCATTTTTAAGAACTTGTTAACCAAAATGATAAAATAACCTCTAGTATTTAATTGGCCTTCTCAGAGTCAGGTAACTGTGGGGTGCAGAGCCAAGAGCTTGGGCTATGTGATAAAACAGACCAGTGCTCAAAACCTGGCTTCTCCAATTCTTAGTTCTGAGACTTTGAACAAGTTCTATTAGCTCTAACACTTAATTTTCCAAATGAAGAAAACAACAGCTAAATTTATTGAGTGCTGACCATGGTCAGAGCTCTTCTATTCATTAAAATTAACCCATCTTAGCAATATTTCGGAATTACAAATGAATGAATGAATTGCCTAGCTTCTCAATGTGAGAAGGGGTGGCTGCAACTGGTGACCCTGCATTTTCTCCCCTTTGGGAGTCTCTCACCAACCACCCATGCCACCACCTCTATGGCAGTGGGGGGAGGAGGGCTACTCCTTCATTGCTCTGGTGTTAAGGTTGAGTATGCAGCACTTGCTTTATTTATTAATTGCCTATATAGAGTTTAACAAGACCAAAACATGTAAATTAGACTTTAAAAAGTGGTGAATGAGCAAACAGAAATACCTAATTTATACTATAGCTCTAAGGAATGGCTTGTTCATCTTTTTTATGGAGTCTCCTCCTGGGTGTTCTAGGTGGTGAGGGAATCACCTCCCCAACACCTTCCTTCTCCAGATGTGTCTGGAGACCCTGCAGCTCAAACTCAAGAATGTTTTCCCACTACAGGCCAAATGTGGTTGCTCAGTTCCCAGTATCAGACCTGCTTTTGACGGATAAAGATTGAGGGACTGTTCTCCTAAACAGAGAAAAGCAGTTTCTTTCCTTCTACTCCTTACTTAAAGGTCATTTAAAAAGTGTTTTCCATGGAGGACCATAACAGGAGTTGAATTTAATGACACAGGAAAGGGCCATATGGAGTAAATGAAGACCTCATTCTCTGCCGACATGATCTAAATAACTGTGCTCAATCCACCAGAAGATAACATTGCTCTCAGTTTTGGGCAGCAAAGGCTCCAAAGAACTCTATTATAAGGTCATTCAGAGTTTTAAAGAGTAACAACAACAACAAAAAAAGCTTACTAGCAATTTTTTTTAAATGCCAAGTTACATATGAGTACACATTCAAAGGCTGAAAAGGAAGAAGTGTTAAAAAAATTCACACCTTTTAAGTTTACATCAATTGGTGTTTCATAAAGAAACTGATGACAGAAATAGCGGTAAGGGGAGAAAACCAAGCTGCTCAGAGTAAGAGGGAAGAGGTCCTACATCAACCCACAGAAAGATGAAACACAGAAAAGGGAAATGCAGACACTGAAAGGAAGCCAACAGCTTCGTAAATGTGGTGCATCTCAGAGTATGGGTTTCTCTCTTCATGAATGCCTGCAATTACTCTGAACAAGTCAGTTCCTTGATTTGATTCATAACTGTCCATGAGTTCACAACCATAACAAGTTGCTGCACTCATTCATTGTTATGATAGTGGTTTATTTAAGGGCTATGAGAAAGTTACTGTTGTTACTGTCCTACCTTGAACTGTTTTTAATTTAACAGATAAACCCTTTCAGAAAAAAAAACAAAAAACAAAAAAACCCCCAAACTTTTCCTCACACCTCCAAACAGGTCATTATTAAATGTCAGTAAGAATGACGAGAATTCACAAGCCCAGAATACCCCTGGTTTATAGTTAAGCCGAATGTGACATACTTAAAAACTACTCAGCCTCTTTAGTACCTTGGCCATGGACAGAAAATATGGCCCATTTTCAAGAATTTTATCTGTAGGACATATAAACAAAGTCTCATAGATAAGGCATTAAAAAATACATTACTTTGACTATGTTTAATAAAAGAATAAAAAACTCTGGATTATAAAAATGACAAACATTTAAACAGAGAGCAAGTGGCTCAACATCAATTTTAAGAGATTTTTATCATAAAATGAGAGGGAATAAATTATAATTTGTTAGATGGAGTTATTTTAAAATACAGAAATGCAATTAATATAAGAAGAAAGGAAAAATATACATTATTCTACAATTTATATATTAGGTGTTATATTTTAGTATATTTAAATATTTAACATTAAATATTTTATAATATTTATTAAATATTAAATATTTAAATATTTTATATTTTAGGGTCTTTGGGTCCTTGAAAGTCACTTGGGTATTGATAAGTGTCATCAGCTATCAAAGGCCATTAGCAGCTCACAGAAAAATGAATATAACTTATATCATGAAACTAATTTACAGTCACACATATCCATAAGTTTTACAAATAAGTGTTTAGATTTTCTCACGTTAATACTTCACAACCTCCAGATGATAAAGCAATGGATTATATGCCAATAATTTTTCTTCTGAGCCAAAGTTACACAGACTGTGAAAAGTTGTATAGTAGGTCACTAAATGAGTGCTCTTAAAAACTAATTATTCAGATAGTTATTTCTTGTGTATCCAAAGATTTGTTAATGTTGACATCAAGTTCATATAGCTATTATATATTCATATGATCAATGGTTGATTGCACCTTAGTTTGATTATACTTTACACCTCAGTAAATTGTCATCCCTATAACTGCCAAAAAGAAAAGCCCATCAGACTAAGAAATATATTTGATATCCTTTCCATAGCTATGGGCAGGCTGGCGGCCCTCATTTGAGCAGTGTATATCAGAGGCATGATGAAGTGCAGTGCTGTAATATTTGGAGGAGAGAGGGCTGGGGGATGTTAAACTGTATTTTAAAATGTATGTCTCCAGAGTCTACCTTCTTTTTTTTTTTTTTTTTT